TCTTACTATTTAAATCATTTTCTTTACTTCCAGCTAAACAAGAAATAAAAAACCATGTTCAAAACCTTTTTGAGTTACTATTAGGACAGTCCAACATGTTTCCAGTTATGAGGCTAAGCAGCATTAAACATTGTACCATCTGCTTCTGAAGTATTTTAACATTGCAGCATATTGAAAAGTGTATGACTTAGTGTGTGTGCATATTGTTGCCAGGGAAATTGCATTATTAATTCATTGTAGTAGGGGAACTTAGAAAGATCAGAGTAAAAGCCTATCCATCTCATTCTCACCCACTCCAACTCACCCAGTACCTATAGCCCTACAAGGGATAGAATGCCAGATTCCTACTGACCATTTTGTGGAAAAGGTTTATACCTGGCTGCCTCATCACTAATTGTAACAATATATTCCTTCATTGTTTTATACTCCCACCATATGATCCTCTGTATCTATCATCTCATATTTCTTCTAGCACTTTAAATTATGAGGAAGGTAATGTGGGTAATTGTGTAAGACAGAGATGGAATGTGTCCTGTGCTTGGCTAATGTATCATTTGTGAAAATTATTCATATTATCCAGTTTCTTAACATCAAAGGATGACCTTTATGCAACTCTTGGGTTTGGATGCATGGCTTTGGAGGCAGGTATTTGGAGAATTCAATCTCAAGATAGCATTTTTACACTGGAAAGTAAACAGCAGCATTATAAAATGATTGAATGTAAATTGCTATTTTGTGAAAAACGCACAATATTTATTACTGTAACAGCCCATGTACTCTTAATAATTAGATTCTACATCAAAAAAATTCCATAACTTAGTTTGTAGATTATGACTAAAACATGTGATGTGCTATGAAGGAAATACAAGTGCAAAGTTATGAAGACTGTTCCATGCTTACTGCATTGTTTCCCCCTAACTTTTTCAAGTTTGTACCACTGTGATGTTTATTGCAATGAGTGCTGGATGAAGACATATGTTTTTTTCTGCTATAGAGGTCCAATAAACCATTCACTGACCTGCCATTCGGTAAGACTGATAACTAAAGTATAATTGTTACAAAATCAGAAATTACTGCAAAAACTCAGCAGGTCTGATATAATTTGTGCAGAACGAGCAGAGTTAATGTTTCAGGTTCAGTGAATCCTCTTCAGAACCTGAAGAAGGGCAGGGGAATTGAGTTTAAGAGCCATGAGGTTATGCTGCAGCTCTATAAAACTCTGGTTAGACCACACTTGGAATATTGTGTTCAGTACTGGCCACCTCATTATAGGAAAGATGTGGAAGCTTTAGAGACGGTGCAGAGGAGATTTACCAGGATGCTGCCTGGACTGGAGGGCAGATCTTATGAGGAAAGATTGAGGGAGCTAGGGCTTTTTTCATTGGAGTGAAGAAGGATGAGAGGTGAACAAAAACAAAGTTGCTGGAAAAGCTCAGCAGGTCTGGCAGCATCTGTGAAGGAGAAAACAGAGTTAACGTTTCGGGTCCGGTGACCCTTCCTCAGAACTGAGGAACTAAGGATGAGAGGTGACTTGATAGAGGTGTACAAGATGAAGAGAAGTGTAGATAGAGTGGATAGTCAGAGACTTTTTCCCAGGGTGAAAATGACTATTACAAGGGGACATAATTTAAGGTGATTGGAGGAAGGTACAGGGGAGATGTCAGAGGTAGGTACTTCACACAGAGAGTGGTGGGCGTGTGGAATGCACTGCCGGCCGTGGTAGTGGAGTCAGATACTTTAGAGACTTTTGAGCGACTCTTGAATAGGCACATGGAGGATAGTGTAATGTAAGGTATGCAGGGTAGTTTAATCTTAGAGTAGGATAATAGGTCAGCACAACATTGTGGGCCGAAGGGCCTGTATTATGCTGTACTGTTCTATGTTCTATGTTCTATGAAACATTAACTCTGTTTTCTCTCTCCACAGATGCTGCCAGACTTGCTGAGTTTTTCCAACAATTTATGAATTTGTTTCTCATTTCCAGCATCTGCAATTCATTTTTTAAATAATTTTTAAACAACTGTATATTTTATTTCAAAATTATGCTTTGGTTAGAAGGATTTAACTGAAGATCACTTTAGTATTCAAAAGGGATCCAAAAGTGGACTGCAGGTGAAGAACTGAGGCAGGGCACTGGAAAGAGATTTTGGAGGGAGGTGGCCAATGCAGAGAGTCTAAGTCCTGTTCAAATAAGAATGGAGGGCTACCTCCTGAATCACAGGGTCAGTCACAGGAGGAGACGAAGGCTTAATGGTATTATCACTGGACTGTTAATCCAGAGACCCAGCTAATGTTCTGGGGACCTGGTTCGAATCCCGCCATGACAGATGGTGGAATTTGAATTCAATAAATATCTGGAATTAAGAGTGCAGTGAATACCATGAATCCATTGCTGATTGTCAGGAAAATCCCATCTGGTTCACTAATGTTCATTAGGGAAGGAAGCTGCCATCCTTACCTGGTCTGGCCTACATGTGACTCCAGACCCACAGAAATGTGGTTGACTCTTAACTGCCCTCTGGGCAATTAGGGATGGGCAATAAATGCTACCTGGCCAGCAACACCCTCATCCCCCTGAATGAATAAAGGAACAGCGGAGGGGAGGAAAGTTGAAGACGGGAAGGGAGGGGAGGGGACGGGATGGACTGGCATAGTGGTCATGCCACAGAAGTAGTATTTTAAAGGCCCAGGCTAATGACCTGACAAGGTAACCAAGGAAGTTAAATTCAGTTAATGTGGAGGGTTTACAGGACCATGGATGTTCTCAGTGGCCAACAATCCCACATGGAGAGCCTCATCTACCACAAGCTTTTGGATAAACTTTAGTTTATCTACCAACACCTTGCCTCCTGCAGAACCCATGAAGCCCAGAACATGTCCCAGAGTCTTCATGGCCCTTGAAAATTGGGCACTCTGTGTTCATTAAAATGTATATTCAGCATTACTTTTTCACAATAACAAAATTTTGGAACTACCCCTGTGTCTGAATCTGTCAGTTTATCCTGCAAACTGAGTCTTACAAGTAGGTCAAACTGAAACGATGGATATTTCAGAAGTTTGTGTGGTATGATCAGCTTTAATTGATGTCTTATTGTAATCAAAGTTCATGTACACATTGTTAAAGGAAATTGTTATTGACCAAATCAAACCCTCTCAAAAAATATTAAGAAGATAGTCTAGACCCTAACTTTTTCTTATTTTAAAGGTAAGGGTAAGGTGTTGCATTCCTGATGCAATTCAATTGGTCAAACTACTCAATATTAAGCAAAACACACTTTATTTTTATACTACAGTTGAAATACTGACAAAGAGAAGAAAAAGAAAAGAATTGGCTTAGCTGTAACTCTATCAAAATGTTAAACAAAATAATATATATATTTAAATACTACTAATTAACTGTTCCAATATAGTAATGCCCCATAAACACACCCTTGATAGAGGCAAAATCAATAAAATAGATAGATTCACATGCAATTCTAGCAGCAGAAGATAACCCCAGCTTTTAGCTGTAACAGAGAGAGGAATAAAAGTTTCCATATCCAGTTTCTAGGCCCCAGCAACTGCTACTGAAGGCTAGGACTGAAAATAAAATCCTGGTTTTATGGGAAATTGATTCCACCCATTTAGACTGCTTCTATTGTTCCAACTTTTAAAAACGAACAAAGACTCAGGAGCTGCTCATTTTTGGAGAAGACTGCTGGCACATCTGTCTCCATCTTTCTTCATTAAAAAAAGGAACAAAATACATCTCCTAAAGCCATAGCATCTTCACAAAATTAAGAATAAAGTCGTGTATACCTCACCTTTCATCTCTATTTTTCATTTCGATGAAGTGCAATTGCGTATGCTATCGGAACAGTGACGTTCGTATGCAGTCACTTAATCCGTTAAGACAAACGTTGTCATGAGCTGGAAACATGAGAATTTACAGAAAGAGACATTTGTCTTTAACTCCTGTACAATATTACTGCTTTTAAAATGACGCAACCCTGTGTTCTTCCGTGGAATGTTGACAACGAACACAGCCAGTGTATATGGAGTGAGTTCAGCACGATGTCTGTTATCTGACGAATATTTCACATAATGTAGTATATATTATCCACGGTATAGCACGTTAGCTATCTTTAGAGTAGCATGTCATTGCATATGCTATATACCATATGAAAAATACCATATGCATATATACACACTCATTATTTGAAATTATGTACTATATATCGTATATTTTGTTAATCGAAGTATTAAAAAGTTCTATTGCACAATTGATGATGAAGATATCCTGGAAATAACGTGTGGTGAAGTGTGTACTAGGTTGTATTATTGGTAAGAGAAACTGTAACGAAATGTGAAGTTAATAAATGCTCAATATATAGACAACTATGAGACCGCATTCCTTAGGTGTAGATTCTTACACAAATCCGCATCAATCAGTTGGTCTCAAGTTTTCAAATCTTACTTGCAGATCTTTGTATTGGTGGGCAAATCGATTCAGAGCTTGTAACAAAATATCTGATGGAGAACAGCAAGGTTTTAAACCTTGAAACTTAAACCCGAATATTCAGAATGTTGGCGAATTGTCTTTGAACGTTACGATTGAAGTTGACAGATTTTGTCTTTTTTTTTGCAAATTAATATTTTATTGACACGAATATAATTTTAAATCATCGACAAAAACGCAGACATTCTACAGTACAAGTGCTATAAAAAAAAGCCTAACAGCTGTTAATATAGTATAGACAACATCAGGCATCATTGCAGCCGAATTTATTTGCAACAATAAACTGGAAATAAATATTAGATTTGCGTAAATTAACTATATACAGAGAAGAACATCAGATTTGTAGACTATTAGAAGTGCATGTTTCAGGGCTTGTCATTTTTGTTCAGTGTTGTAACCGCGTTCCCTCTCCACCCCAGCAGTGTTAACACCTTTCCTGGGGGACAATAGTTCTTTGCTGTGCGGTATTTATTTCGGTGATCTTAATTGTTTTAATTTTACTTTACATTATATGATCAGCAGAACAAATGTCATCATCTTCTATTATATCCACATCATCTTCACGGTCCTCCAACAGAAAGGCGTTCTGGCTGCTTAAAGGCTTTATGTCTGAGGAACTTTTCTGGCTTAACACCGCCTCACTGACGCTGGACTCTAGACACCGTTCCCCAGCGGGGGAGCTTTTCGGACCGTGATCATCCCGCGTCTTTCTTAGCTGTTTTTTATGTTTCATCCGTCGGTTCTGAAACCACGTTTTGACCTGGAAAATGCACCGAGAAGAAGCTCAGGGAATTTCACAAGAAGAGACAAAACCGTTAGCGACCCATTGAGTTTACTTTATCTTAAGATGTGTATGCGGAGGCGGCAAGTCTAAACAGATTGGATTGATTGAAGGCCAGAAGTGAGTAACGAACGAACCTGAGGAAAATTTCGAATGCAGTGACATTGGACGGATGATTCGTACTGAAATGTCTCTGGTTCCAGAACATAACATTTGCACAATCAAATCCAGTACTTTTAGAAAGAATTCTCATGACTTATTTCAGTTAGAAGCATATAAATATGAACACGCCGTTGTGTGCTTAATATTTCACCCCACATGCCTAGGAACGCATTGTGTGGTGAATGACTGAAAGAGTTATCCTACCTATTTATGAATTCACGTGAAGGTTCAGGCAACATATAGCAGCGTTTGCTCTTGGTATGGATTTGGGAAAATAAATAAACCACCATTAACTCATGGTCGGTTCAAGGAGAAAGCTCACCACCACCTTCTCAAGGGCAACTTGAGATGGGCAATAAATGCTGGCAATAAAGCAAAAGGATGCACGCCTGTATTTCAAAACTCCACATTCCCAACGTCAGATATTATTGGTAAAAAACATGAGTATAAATTTGTCTCGTATTTAATTTCAGAAATGGCAGCTCTAATTCCAAATGCAATTTTGTTCGAGCTATGTAATGAACGAACTGGTATGGTTGAACATTTGCAAACTATTCCGATTGAGACAATCTCAAATATTGGCAATTGTCAGTCCGCGTTCATTGCAGCTTTTTTTTAAAAAAAATCCATGTCAAGTACTTGCATTCAGTTTCTGTGTTGACTAGCTTGTATGTTTATTGATTCTAAGTTCACTATCTCCTGAGCGGTCGTTTCAGACACTTTAAATGTTTGAATTCTGAGCACTGGGCTGAGTTCCTTGTTCCGGCACATTGTTGGTGACTGTGAAAGCGTGTGTGTTCCACTGCTATTTCTAATTAAATTTCTTTGCGGGCGACAGGGAGATTTACTTTTTAACGCTGGCATCAGTCTATACAGAGGGTGAAAGATGTGGAACTGAATTGAATTGGAGAAGTGTTTGTATTTTCTACTCCCAGTCTTGTGAAGGAAAGAAGTTGATTGCGAGTTGTCAGAACTAACCTCAATCCTAAATTACGTCTTTCCTGCGATCGAGACTGTGTGATCGATCGAGACCCGCTATTGGGTTTGGTGAAAAATCCAACCCCAAACTTGACCTGAAAATCGTTTTAAACACATTGAAATATCCAAGTGCTGACTTGTGAATCATCTAACTGTATAAAGATCAAGACATCTTTGCAACGATTTGTTCCCACGTTATATATTTCTTAGTTGATTTTCGTTTGAAAATCTAGCTTCTCAATTTATCAATGGAGTGACTGGGCATGTTGTTTCAATATGTTAAGCCTGGTTAAGTCTGAGCAAGTGTAATTTTCGATCAATGGAGGACCTTTCTATTTCCTTTCATTTCCGCCCCCACCCAAATTCCGCCTCCCTCCTACCGCTTGCTTCTCCGGTTATACCTGGGTCTCCGAGAGACTGAGTGCCGATGCCAGCTCCACCCTCTCTGGGGTTGAGAGGTAACGCTGAATCTCGAAGCGTTTCTCCAGGCCTGAGAGTTGTGAGTCCGAGAAGACGGTCCTGGCTTTCCGCCGCCTGCAGTGTTTGCCTGGAAGCTCCGGTGGATGTTGGAAAAGAGCTGGCATATGCATACCTACTGATTACGAACAGACAATACTCCCAAAATGAATATCTTTCCCAAGTCAGTATTCAGCATAGCTTTAAACAAAAAACCTTGCGCAAATCTTAAGTTAATTCACGATTTCGAAGGGATTTGTTTGGAGGTTTTCGATTAGCCCTGTTCTAAAATTAGGCAGAACAAGTTAAAACACGCATTCTGAAGACGCCCAGCCGTCTTTTTCGGTATTTGTGCGCAAGTCCTACACGTAGCTTCGAAAGGTGGGCAATAAAACAACGAACTAGGCTTTTAAATCAAAGCCAACAAAGGAGTTACTTCACCTAACACCGATAACGTGCATGAGGCAATTTTGATCGTCCTTTTAAAAATCGACGTGAATACCTTTTTATCACAATCGATTCTAAATGTATCATGACCGATTCTATAATGTCATTTTTATTATTGCAAGTTATTCTATTAGAAACATGTTTTTGTTTAATGAATTGCCCAGCCTATTTTCATAAAATCCTCCAAACTAGTTTTCCAAATATGCCGATTCATCGAACAAATTGGCCATGAAGTGTCTGGTTTGGATACATCAATGCAATCAAACGTCCACTTTATTTGTAAGGCCTGTCGTATCAGAGCAATAGAATAGGATTTTACGGATATATTTGCATCTGGTTGAAATTATTTCGATGTATTTATTGAGTTTCATTCAAGCCGTGAAACCAAGTATGGCACAATGCAATGACTCAGGCAGCTTTCCATCTCGCCCACTCCATCCCGCCATCTGTAACGTTTTAGAGTTGAGAATAGTTTATACTGTTTTACACAAACTGGTTTTGTGTCCACATAATAGCAGATCAGTTCATTTGTGACCAGCCTTACATAAGTGAGTGGCAACATTTCTATCACTTGTTATTTTCTACGTGTCTTCCTTAGAATCGGATTCATTTGTTTATTCTTTAAAGCAGTTTTCATCTTAAAATAGGACGCGATTGGGAGCCGATTGCAAGTAAATCCCTTTGAAACACACTTTAGATTCTGGAGTATTTTAAACTCTATTTCATTTTAAAACACTGGGAGTCAAAGTTTGGTAGCCGATTGCGAGTGTTCTTCTCGGTCATACCCTTGGATTGGTTCCCGTGAATTGGAGTGCAAATCTGCCTCCAGTATTTGATTTCTAACTTTCTGAAAATGCCGCAAAAGTCTGGACTTTATTGCACTTCAGTTGAAGGATGGTTCATTTAAAGATATATCTATCAGGGCTTGCCTTGCACAGGCTCACTGTTACTGAGTTAGCGTTACGGCACAGTTTTCTCGATTCCCCTTCCATAGTGTTTATGGCATGATTGACAGTTCAGGTTCAAAATATTCCGCAACGAAGAAAAAGCTAAACTCTTGCTGAGATAGTAGGAACTGCAGATGCTGGAGAACCTGAGATAACAAAGTGTAGAGCTGGATGAACACAGCAGGCCAAGCAGCATCAGAGGAGCAGGAAGGCTGACGTTTCGGGCCTAGACCCTTC